GGCTGCGAGGAGACACCCCGTTAGGCAGCCCCGCTTCCAGCTGGGGGGAGACCTCCTGGTGGCCCCTCGCAGCCTCCTCCCACACCGGCCGGTTGGGAGACCCGCCCGCTAGCCCCCCTTCCCCACTAATTAGGTGGGGGGAGCTTAACACTTCCCTTCTTTCTCATTAACTAGGCAAGGGGGGGCTGGGGCCCCGGCACCAAGTGCTGATAACTAGAAGCAGATCTACTCTTCCACGCTGTGGGAGAGGACCCCCCCAGCCCCAGAGCTCCCTTAATACCTATTGAGGGGAGAGGTGTCCTCAGTCCCCAAATTTCTGGAGGTTGTGATAATTATCTTTACCACCTACTCCCCCCCAACTACATAGCTACTGGGTGAGGAAATTCCTCCCTCAGCAGAGAAGGAGACACCCCTTCCCTAGCTGTTCCCAAGACCCAGCCAGATAGTAAGTGGGGAGTCTGCACAAGAAAGAGAGGCAGTCCCCAAAACAGAAATAAGCCAGACCCCCCCCCCAAATACTTACCTAGTGATTTTAATTCTTTACATCTGCTCAGCAGACAGCAGAGAAAGCAAAACAGGCACAGATTTAGGTATTTGCTGCTCTCTCCAGTTGCTGTTAACCACTGGAGATAAAGGTAATTTCCAGTACTGATCTGGTCTGCCTTCATCCCAGAGAAGATCCCTCATCCCCTAAACCAAGAGGGTTTTCTCCAGATAGTCTGTGCAAGGAGAAAAGACACACCTCCCAATTAGAGGGGAGGAAAAAGACAGATTTTGCTGATAATATCCACAGAGTTAGCAAGAATTCTTTCAGAGAAGGAGATTTACCCACCCTTACGAACGAGGTGTACCTGCAGGAGAGAGAAGAGAGACTTCCAGGTAGGGAGACTGCAGAAATTGCTTTCTCAGTCTGACAATCAGGAGAAGAAATGCTCTCTCCCAGGGGAACTCCCATTTAGCAGTTAGCTGCCAAAAGAGAGCATCTCCATCCTGGGATAAAACTAGCAGTTTTAGGGGACTGACAATCCCAAGCAGATCATTTTAGTGCTCAAGATTCTGATTTCATCCACAATCGCCTCGCCTTCAAAATCTTTCTTGAAGAAGCTCCTGGAGTAGCTGACAGCGACGTTCTGAGGATGGGGCTTGGAGGAGTGTGAAGGGCAGCACCCAAGAAACCAGCCCTGAAGATCCGTCTCCCTCCAGAAAATCTTCCAGAGTGAGTGACCACATTATGTCACCTCTGTTTTCCTTTCAGTCATTCTCGTTCCCTTCTTTCTTGTTTTTCATGTTTTTTTCTCTCAGTATCTGCTTTTCTTTGAATCTTTTTGTTTATGAACCTCTCCCCAACCTTTTTTTTCTATATATCTTTTTCCATCTCTCTCACTCTTATGCATTATAGGAAATGGACCTGATTCTTTCCCTCACTGTTTAGCTTATGGGAGACCCTAGCCCTAATTAATTGTAACAGACCTCTCTATCCTTTCCTTTCTACTTTCTTTCATAGGTGTATTGACTTTGTCCTGGGCTCAGCCTTTATCTTCAATAGTGGGAAATTAATTTCTGTTATCTAGAAGTCATTAACAAGGATAATAACGGCCAAAAAAGCATTGAAGAGATGGGAGGAGTGATTTGTAGTGCTGGTGTCCAAAGATGTGTATATGTTATATTGCGCTCGTGGGACTGCGGTGTCAGGTGTTCTCTACGTGAATCTTGCTATGATTGTAACTGTAGGAATAAAATCAATGCGAGATGCAGACCTTATTGTGCTTGGAAACTGAATGTACAGACCCCAGTGCTAACACTCTGAAATGAAAATCCTACTGTACTCAGGGGCTGTGGGGTTGGATCATGGAACGAGTGCCCTTGAGAGTTGATCATGTTGTACTCAGGGGCCTAAGAATGAAAGTCGTGGAAGTGCTGGTGGAACCTTCTCTGAAAGCCAAAAAGAAACCATTCCATTGCTACTAGTCTTCATATATGTTTTCTGCTGTGTTCAGGGGCTGGGAATGTCAGTCCTAATGCTAGTGTCATGATGAGCCAAGCTGTCTGCTTTTTGTAGATGGGACGGTTAAATTCCTATCTAAATGAGTATTCTGACACTAACATAGTGATTTCCTGAGAAATCAAGTCTGAGGGAGACTTAATCCCAAGTGAAGCCAAAGCAGATTCCTTTAGCAGAAGCATCATCCCTAAGGATATCTCACTTGAGATATTCCAGTTTCTTTTCTCCAGTGAGGCAGCAGTGAGGAAATCCAAGATCAAAGGATCCTTGGCTAGGACAGGTGGCCTTTTGGAATTCAGTAGGGAGCACAGTGGGTATAAGGAATCCCAGAAGAAGGAAACTCCTTGGTGTAATTTGACAGTAAGATCATACAAAAGAATCTAGGTCCCTCCAGGGTGATTCTCCATTTCTGCAGAGATTTTGACAGTTATCCTTAGTTTGAGAGGTGTTTTTTTCAGAGAAAGGCTGAAACATGAAGTGTATATTCAGGGGGTATTGTTAGATGCCTTCCTACCTGTTGCCCTATAGTTGTGCAATCAGCCTGTTTTGAGTACAGACCTGTTATCTAGAGCAAGGTAAGAGATAACTGAGTCATTTTGGCCTTTGTACACTCAAGGGGGTAACCGACTTTTCATGTTCTCGAGGTTAATTTACCTTGCTCTGCCCCCTTCCTCGCTGTAATGACTTGACATTTTTCAAGTCCTTTTGGCTCCGATGGATGCCAAGGCACTTTACAGAATGTATATGCCAGCCTTACAAAATTCTGCTCTCCTGCAATAACTATCTTTGCATGTGTAAAATGTTTTATTCTTGATTATTATGATAAAGAGTAAGATTTGTATTTTCTGCTTGAGTTTTTAATATTCATGATAGACATGCAAGGCTGACAGTCATATGCTGTAGTGCAATTGTTATTTATTTGTTAATTGCTGACTGGGTATTCAGTGCTGACTCAGACACACAAAATTAAGACAGTCTCTGCTCTAAAGATCTTGTGGTCTAAAACATAGCTCTACAAAAGCCAGGACATGCTGGTAAATTCAAGGAAGGGAATCATTTTTACAGAGCATGGCTCTTCTGATTTAAATACCAACATCATCACACTGATGTTTGTCACAGGCTAAAACGCACCTTCCTCTGAGGTGGAATACTGCAGCTCTTCTACACCATCTATTTAATACAAAAGTATTCATAAAAGGGAAAGGAAGAATATTATTCATCTTCATAAAAGTGCAAGGTACTTTATAGGCACATTTAAATGAAAGTGCTATGTCTTTAAGAGTTTATGTCAAGACTGTTAAACCTGAATACCTAAAATTAGACTTCTAAAACCACATTTAGTTACCTGAGTAAATAGCCTGGTTCTCATAAGTGCCCAGCAACTTAGAGGTGACTTCAATAGAAGCTACAGAGTCTTAAGCACGTGGATATAGAGACACTTGATTGTATGTGTATGGATTTGTAAATTTAAATTCGGGCATTCATGCTTCCAAAGTTGACTCTTAAAGCTGAAGCAGTCTGATCCTTTCCTATGTGCACTCCATTCCCAGTGAAGTTTGAGAACTGAGAGCATGGCACTTCTCAGGTCAAGCCCTTAAATAAAATTAAATGAGAAGCTCTAGAGACTTATGGGAAAAGGATTACATTACTAAAAGATCAGGAGGTTATATTCATGTTTAAGTATGTGTTCTGTAAGTTCCTGGGCTTTTATCTTGAAATCTGGTTCTGTAGGCAGTGTCTAGGTCAAAATAAGGAGTCAGATAAGTTAGAAAGAAATAGAATAATCCGGTTAGGGAATATGAATGTCATGTCCCAGTCCTAGATGTGGCTGTAAGTCCTGTAATGCTTACTTTTTCTGCAAAATATGGCTGAATGCTGGTGTCTCTGGAGAAGACACCCCAGCCTCAACTGTTCTGCGTTCCGTGAAATTTTTTCTTACCCCAGAGATACAGGTATCCATTACTACTTGATTACGTCCTCTTCCCCTAAACTTCAGCTGACCTTCATATAGTGGGAGGTTCAGTCTCCATCACAATTTGGAGCTTTGGCCCTTTGCTTCAAGTGTCAGAAAGGAGGTACGGTTAATGGCAACTGTGTCATGGACAGCTGTCCCTCAAGAGCAGGACTAAGATGATTATCTTATTTTACACTGCTATCAGACAGGAATTATTTTTGGTCATTAGCAACCGAAAGATGCTCTCGGACTTGTTTTTCCATTTGCTGCTCCAAACCTCGAATAGAATTGTAACCAGTGACTTTAAGGCAGAACCCTGTATTTTGTAGTATGCCATTTGCAGAATTTGTAGCTGTATTGTGGTTCAAAATTGAAACTTTAGTTGAATAATATTGTTTCTAGCCTTCTTGGTCTTGAAGACAGCTCTAAAAATGAGAGTCGAGTCCAGATTATTGGACAACCTAAAATGGTATCTCAGAAGCATGTGAACTCTCCGCTTGTGTTGACTCTGAAACCTAAAGAAAAGCATGTAAACCTCTGTATTGCTGGCTATTGTACTTCCTGTTTTTTTTTAACAGAAATATCCAGCTGATGTGTTTATCTCCCAAAGGCTTGTCATCTTTGTAGGAGTCAGTATTGCTACTTGCTACTTGTTCTCAGTTAATGTTTCCTTCTTCCTTCTAAAGGCTATAAGATGAACTTAAAAATCCATGGCATACTTCTACGCTGTCCCCATGTTTTCACTTTTAAAGGCAGCCTGGGTACATGTGTTACTGAGAGGAAGCAACCTGCAGTGCGTGTTTTCACACTTAATCAATTGTAAAATTTTCATTTTAAATTTGAAAGGAAACATGCAAAATACTGAGAATGTTTCAAAATTCAGACACCTTGCAACAGAGTTTAGAACCAGTTTACTGTTGTGTCTCATGGTGCTTTGCCAAGATCTGGACTAGACTCTTGTTTATTCTTCTGTTTTTTCCTCCCTTGTCCTCTACCCCATCCTAGCATGAACCTTAGGTTAGGTGTCTTAAAGGCAGAAGACATAGCATTCCATTGATGTTGCTAGTTCCTGGCCTTTGTCAGCCGTTCCTAAATCCCATCCCTGGCTTCCTAACATTGTGTCATAGTCAGGTTCTTCTCCTGCACCTTTAAGGCCCAGCATGTCTCCACCCCACCTACGTCTTTACTCTCATTTCCTCCTACACCCCACCGCTCCTCCCAATTCTCTCACTACTGCTCTTTGCATCTCATTTTCCTTACCATCCCCTTTGGCATTCTGTCCTCATGTCCTATAAAGCCTAAAATGCCTGTTCTATCCTCGTAAGGCAAGCATTTCCCATCTCCTCCCTAAAATTATTTTCTGTTGGGAACCCTTTCTCACTGCATTTAACAGGCCTCCTTGTTAGGACCACACCGGCATTTTGATTCTTCTTGGTTTGATTTTCATTAGATTATATGCTGGTGGACACACGGCGTTTTTTTGTTTGAGATCGTGTCAAGAACCCTGTTCTTTTGTAAAACTATATAATAAATATAATTTTGTTCCTCTGAAAACGTCTAGTTCTAGGCTGAGAATGGCTAGCACTAGGCTAGCACTTTGTCTCCATAATCCATCTGACTCATTCTCCCACCCTTCCTTTTCTACTGTCCCCTTCCATTCCTCAGGAACAGCTAGATTTTAGTTGATAAATTAGAATGAAAAGCCCCTGCATTACATTCTCTGGTTCGTTCCAGCACTTCAGGATTCTAGTTTTGAATTGGGATGAACAATTTGTGCAAGGCCCAATATCCCATTCCCAGTCCTTCTAAACTGCTCAGTTTTCCTGATGTGAAGTCAAGCTAGGTCAAGTAACTACAAAGCACATTAGGGAATATGGTTTTTTTTTTTTTTTTGGCCTTGTTTTAATGTATAAAAGACATTGAGGGGGAGGGAGAAGATGAGGAATCAGGGGTTTTATATCTCAAGAATTTTTTTCTGTTCTTTTTATTTACATTAGCAATTCAAATTTTGCTTATGTTCTTTGTCATGTAAGACTGTAGCTGATTGTAGTAGAAATATCATATAATTAAAGTTAAAAGTTAAAATCTGAATAATTGAGGAGGAATGGAAACTGTTTGTGATCACAAAGTAAGGGAGCAAAGTTTCTGAATTCTTAGTTTTCCCCCCAAAATTATTAAGTAAAAACAAAAAAATTCTCTTT